CTACTGGGCAAAAACGACTCAATTTTCATTTTTAAAACTCTCCAGTATAACACAGTGATCTGTGTGTTTGCTGTTAGTGCTGAAGATAACCGTCACATTCAGGATCTGTGTGTAGCTTGGCCTTGTAGAAGCTCTTGCAGCCTTAAACTTCACGGTACTTGTGCGTCCATATTTCAACAGTCAAGACCACTCATGGGCCAAGGTCTTGTTTTCCTCCATTCAAACCCAGAAATTAATCAACTGTGTATTTTAATACCCGTATATCATTGCCATCATGAGGGAAAGAAAACGTGTCTGCCAATTAGCCCAGCAGAAATGAAACAAGTTGTTTTTAATCTTTTCATAATGAAAACTTGGGACAGCTGCCCTGCGATTGGAAGGAGCAGGTGGGACTAATCATGAGTGTATCCTGCCCCTCCCTCCAGGGCAGTCACAGTGGATTTTGATTTGGACGGTGCCCACAGCCAGGCATCGCAGGTCCTTGACAGAAACTAATTAAGGATAAGGCAGGAAAAGGGCAACCTGTCCACTTGCGTCTTTAATCAGAAAGGAAGCTAATGTAATTGAAAAGTTGCATAGCATACAAAATATCCATAAATGCAATCCAAGAAAACCAGTTCGCAAAGCAAAACACCAGCTGGCCAGAAAACTGGAATTTAATCTCCTCAAGTGAGAATTGAGTGTCCCTCTGTATTCACCCTTCAGTTTTACTTGTCAGGGTGAAGACAAGCTCACCATTGGCCCCTCTCTCGTTTTTATCTCCTTCAACTCTGAGAGTTCCAGACCTTTCAGTTCCAGGCTGCAGAGCTGGGGTGCTCAGCCAGTGATGGGGAAGGGAATTTGCAAGTCATTTAGTCTATTTATAACAAGTTCACCCAGCTTTCAAAATTGTCGTTTTTCTTGTCATGGGGAAGACCTCAGCCTACAGTCAAGGCATTGGATTTTGGGCATTGGAACTTAACTTTTTTCGAAGTTGAGTTCAATTCAGCAAATGGTTATTGAGCTCTTCCGAGATACCCATGAGCGAAGAGACACGGCCGCTCTGTCACACGGCAGACAGACTGGTGAGCAATAACATGCCTCACGGGGCGATACGCTGAGCAAGGGTCTGGAATGCTTCCTGGGGAAGCGCATCCTTTGGCCCCGAGTCACAGGATGAGTCAGCATTTTCCGGGCAGGCGGGAAGGAGGGACGTTCCAGGCAGGAGGACAGACAGACAAGTGAGGGTCCAGTGTGTCCTGTACAAGGAGCAGGGGAAACGGGTGTGGGGGTGGGAAGGTGAGACTGGAGAACAGGTCTGGCCATGAAGGGCCTATGAAACGATGCTCAGGAGTCTGGCATTAACCCACAAGATCACAGCAGCGGAGCCTGGCTGCGCATAGGGTCACCGGGGACATTGTGAAAAACAATTCACGCCCAAGCCCCTCCCCGACCAACTCGGTCACCTTTCGTGAGGGTGGGGCCTGGGCATTCAGATGTTTAAAATGTGCCCCAGGTGATTCTCATGTGTGCCCAGGGTAGAGAATCAGCTCTAGGCAAGAGGTCTGCAAAGGTTTCCCAAGAGACCAGAGAGTAAACATCTTTGCTTTTGGGGGGCCACACAACCCCTGTTGAAACCCCTCGGTCCCTTACAGGTGCACCCCGTTTTATTGTTCTTGGCTTTGTGGTGCTGCACAGATGTCGCAGCTTTTACACCTTGCTGGCCAGCCCTTCCACGGCCGAAAGACTGTGACTCGCTTTACGGCCACATTGGCTTTATTTGGTGGCCGAGAACGGACTTGTGGCATCTCTGAGCTCCGCCCGGGTTGGGAATGCAGCAAGGACAGGGTGTCAGTGAGAGAGACGGCCGTGTCCCAGCTGTGTGCACGTCCCGTTGTCGGTTAGAGTAGTCCCTCCTCATCCTCCGTTCCGCTCTCCGAGGTCTCAGGCACCTGCGGTCAACCTCGGTTACAGAATATTAAGTGGAAAACTCACAGGCTTTACCTTTCGGGCCATTTTGCGTCACGTGGTGGAATCTCTTAAGATCCTGCTCCATCCCACCCAGAAGGAGACTCATCCCTCTGTCCCGGCGGCGTCTCCGCGCTGCACACTGTGGACACGCCCGCCCCTTAGTCGCTTACTCGGTTCACCGGGTTATCAGATCGACTCCTGTGGTGTCTCGGGGCTCGAGTTCAAGTGGCCCTCATCTGACTTAATGAGGCTTCAAAGCGCGAGAGTAGGGATGCTGGCGGTGCGGGTATGCCAGAGAGAAGCCAAGAAGTGCTTCCTTCAGTGGAAAAGAGAGAACAGGACAGCCAGGTATTTTGAGTGACCACATTCACATACCTTGTGCTGCAGTATATTGTTATAACTGTTCTATTCCTTCGTTATGAGTTAATGCTCTTAACCTCTTGCTGTACTTAATTGATAAATTAAACTTGATCATATATGTGCATGTATGGGAAAAAAAACATAGTGCTGTAGATAGGGTTTGGCACTGTCTCCAGTTTAAGGAATCCATTGGGAGTGGGAGAGTCTTGTAATATATCCCCCTACGGATAAGGGGGGGGCTCCTCTATCACATTTACTAAATAATATATGAAGCTATTCTCACTGTAAAGGAATCAGAACAATAGAGGCAAAGCTCATCTTTTTGTTCCCTTATTCATTTCTCCGTCCCCTTCCTGCATAATGGCAGTTGTCAGTGGGTATGTCTATTTCTAGAACTTTCTGGAACTTTCTCCTTGAATTTTTGTACACATCTAGCCACTAGAAGATATTATTTTGTTTTGTAAAATTGAAAAATATATTTATTGTTCTTAAACTTTTTTTGTACATAATAATATTTCTTGGAGCACTAATTGCCGACATGAAACTGTTTTTGTCCCGTAAAATGGAGTTTTCACGTGATTCAACCTGAGAGTCTGTTTCCAGTTTTTTGCCTCAACACGCATCACTGCTGCAAGCACCTTGCAGTGTGCACACGTGTGTTCCCCAGGGCAGGTTCTGAGGGGTTGCGTGGCTGGTCCCTGGGAATAGCAGCTTCAGCAAGAAGCGGAGTTTGTCCGCCAACTACGGGCAGCTCGAGGGTGGAGACGAGGACCAGGGACCTGAGAGGCTGAGGACAGTCGGTCCAGGCAGTCCCCGGGGTGGGGGCTGTCCTGCAGCCTCTCGGGGGACCACCGTCGGGGGAACGAAGGCCAGGCTGTGCTTTGGGCTCTGACGCACTCACGCCACACTCGTCCTGGGAGAGGGTTGGTGACCTGTCACAGTGAGGGGAGGGCAGGGTGGGAGCAGCCTCCAGAAACCAGCCTGGAGAGGCCACGTCAGCTTCTGTGACAACAGGGCAAAAAAAGAAGAAAAAAAAAAGGAGTGTAGGGATCAGAGAGGCAGAAATAAGTGCAGCACTAATAAGAAAGTTCAGCAAATTTGCCAGATACCAGAACAAATTACAAAAATCAATAGTGTTTTTCCACACCAGCAACAATCGGTTGGCAAATATAATTAAAAATAAAACACCAAGGAAAATAGCCAACTATTCACTATCTATGAATTGTCGTGTAACCTGTTTTGAGATTACCAAGGGAAAATGGAATATTATAAATAAGGACACAAAAGATTTGAGTAAACTGCGTGATATCCAGTGTGGCTCAAAACAAAAACGATGTCAATCCCCGGCCATATAATTTATACATGTGAAGCAATATCAGTCAATATTCTAGCTGGATGTTTGGAGGAGCTCAACAGAATTTTTCTGAAATTTTTGCAAATGTTCTGAATGTGAATTTTCTGAAATTCGTGTGAATGATTTAATGGTGCACAACTAGCCAGCTCACCTGCAGGGGGAGCACAGGCAGAAGGCAGAGCACTCAGAGCCCCCTACCGGTCCGGTCCGCGGTAGTAAAGCCACGTGGTGTTGGTAGTGGAGCCAGGACTGGCTTCTTCCCGGACCTGTGGCCTTTGCAGCCCCGTGGCACGCACACTTTAAAGGGCCCCAAGCCTGCGTGCAGTGTGATTTGCTAGCCCCGTCTTGAAACTCTTAATAACTTTAAAACCAAAGGCCCTGCATTTTTGTTTGGCACCAGCCCTGTGAGTTATGCGGGCAGTCTTGACTGGAACAAAGGTTGTTCAAAGACTAGACCAAAAATGCAAGCTCAGAAGAATGGATTTCTGTCCAAGGAAGGATGCCACAGGTAAAGAACTGCCAGATAAGGGACTGAGAGTAAATATTCCCAATGACTCAGGTAGACAAGGACCAATACACTGAATAAGCAGCCCTTGCAAATCAAAAAGAGAAGAACCATTAAAAAGTGGGCAAAGGATACAAAGTGACATTTTACAGAAGAGAAAACTTGAATGGCTAACTGACAAAGATATCATGGCTTGATTGGAATTAGGGAAATGAAAATTAAAACAACAATTGGATATTCTTTTATACCCACTGACTGTCAAAAAATGAGAAAGCTAGACCACACAAACAGGAGATAGGAGCCTGCATCCTATGGGCAGTCCTTCTGGGTGCAGTCCGGTGGGGTCTACCCAGTGTTTGCGTCCCTTGTGACCCAGGCCGCACCTGTGTCTGACACCTGGGGACACACAGCTGAGTCTAAGATGGTGACGAATGATTACACAGCAGTTAGAATCCCCGGGCCCGAGGAGCACAGCAGCACCATCAGCAGCACGAATGTAGCACTGAACGGCACAGGTAGACGCAGGGGAGCTGAGGCACAAACTCACGCACGTACATGAAACATGCACCACAACGGGAACACCTGCAAGTGAGAGGCTGCACGTCGAGCAGCAGGGGAGCATGCACCACTGTTCTCCCCCAGCACGGAGAGGGGCCGGGGCCGGGGCCGGGGCTGCAGAGTGCAGGCCCGGAGAGTGGCATCAGGAAGTGGCATGTCTGTCTCTCTTTCGATTATTTAACTTTGATAGGTTTCAATGGTGGAACCCATAAATTCGCTGGAAAGTGACACAAGAAAGCTAACTTTGCCCACTTCTTTTGCTCTGAACGCCAGTGTACGACTCCATCGGGAAACTTGGGAGCAATGTCCTCGGGGGGAACGTGGACAGGCTGGGATCTTACAGCGAGTGTCTCTCCACCCGAGTGCCCTCGGGGGCCTTCCGGGGGCGGTACTGCAAGCTTCGCATGCAGCAGGTGAGCCTGGGGGGCCTTCGGTTGCTCCTGAGGGACAACCAAACCTCATGATAGGGAACCCATCAGGGCTCCACCGATTGCTTTTCTTGATTAAAAACAATACTATTAAGATGTCTTGCAAAATGTTAAAACTAAGCTTTAAACAGTGGCAGAAATTTGCTTGCGTGTTCTGAGCATGGGACATTATGGGAGGCGATGGAAATTCACAAACCACATAAGGCCTTCAGATGTTCCTTCTGTGGTATTACACGGGGCGAGACCTCTAAAGGACCTTTGTGGGGAATCCAAAGTCAAGTCCCAGCCAATGTCCTTGGGCATTAACTTCTGACTTACCATCAGGTTTTGGAATATCAAAGGGAGGGTGCACTTCCTGTTACCCATAATCCTGTCCCAGACACAGAGCTGCAGGACAGGAAGTCGAGGTTATCCCAGCAGATGGGCTGGGGCTTTTATGACTACATCACTCAATCAGTTGTCTGAAGCCACAGGGCTCACTATCTTCAAAGCACGTTACTTCTTTCACTGCCAGCGGGGCGGGGGGAGGGGGGGGAGGGACTAGTAAAAGCACAGCCTCCTGTTAAATATAAAGATAGATTTTGTGCATGTCACGACATTGCTGGTTGGCTAATCACAATCGTATAAGATAATAAAAAACCCAAGCGCTCTGATAGTAATAACACAAAATGGTCTAACGAAGGAAGGTTACCACCCAGCTGCATTTGTCCCTCAGAGAGCTTTGAGGATCACTTCAGGGTATAAAATCGGTGTGCACAAATGTCACATTCTATTTGCAAAGCAGATTAATGGTCTTTCTATCAGAGCAAAAGGTCAGGCCTACACACGTCTTGCTTTACTGGGACAGGCACGCTAATATTGCTTTGATTTATTAGTAAAATCTTTCCTTGATACTTTTTGCCCTGCTAGGAAGAAATGGCAAGTTGGCAGTATTGCTGAAAAGTGCAGGAGAGTTAACTTTTTGTGTGGGAGAAGCCCTGGGGCAGAGTTCCCACCCCAGGGATTGCTTTCTTAAGTAGTCCGCTATATTAAGCTTTGGAGCATGTTTTTATTGAAATGCGAGTGCATCTGATGTACTGTAAAGGCCCCGGAAGCACTCTGTTATGGGAAAGCCATCTCCAAAGAAGTCAGCAAAATTTTCCCTTTTTAATGCTTTTCCCTTCCCATTCCCAGCGTGCTTATTTCCTGGTTGGTGCAGCCTCATGGTGTTACTTACTTAGAAACCGCCCTGTGTCTGGTCTGTGATCACTGACATTAAAGAACGCTGTGGTCTTGTGCTTCCCAGGATGGAGCTGACTACAGTGTGGCCGTGTGTGTCCCCGATTCCTGTGCGGAAGAGGATGTGACTGCGCTGTCTCAGCTGGGTAGGTCCAAAAGAATACCTAGTGAGACGATTGTCTCTGTATAAAGTTTGGAAAACCCCCAACTCCCCAGAGACAAGAAAGGCCCCTCTCTGAGGATCAAACCCGCCTTTCACCCTGATAAATGCAATAAGCCGAGACTAGCAGAGTTTTGAGGGGTGTGGGGGTGGTGGCATCGGAAGGGAGAGAGTAGGAAGGAGGAGAAAGACAGGAAGGAGCTGGAGCTTTATGCAATGAAATTGTAAACTTAAACCATCTTCCCGCACAGTCAGCTGCCTGGTGCGCTCGAAGACAGGAGGTAGGGGTGTCTAGTTTCCCCGTTGCCAGTGTCCTGGGCTGCGGTCCATGGAGCTCTGCCAGCGGCCACACCCAGAATGCTCAGCCGAACTAGGATTCTGTGAGGCCAGCGTGGCAATGGATTAGTGGTAAGCGCTCAGCTTTGGTCCTGGTTGTCACCTCCCAGTTGTGTGATCCTGGGCAAGTCACTTAATCTCCCCACACTCCCTCCTCTTCCTCTGCACAGAGAGGGGCGGACCGGAAACTTCAGTCCGGGTCCAGCTCCCTGTGGCCTTTGCCATCACTTTGGACCTTAGCCACGCAGAACAGATGCATTTTAGTCCACCTGGAAACTGGTTTGACTTCCTCTAACTCTTTCAAAAATGTCAAAGGATGAGCTTTGAAGCCTCAAATTGTTACGACTAGTGTCTTTTGCATTTATTCTGGCTATCCAAAGAAGTAATGCGACTTATTAAAAGGAAAACGCTATTTTGTTTCACTGCGCACAGAACCCTTCTGACACCAAAGGTGTGGGTTTCGCCCTCACGTTATGTAGGTAGTGCTGCTGACCCTACAGGTTAAAGACTCAGTCGCCGGCTGCAAGTAGTGGGTCCCAAGATTACCCTGATTTCTGCCATGGCTGCAAGTCAGTTGTGCCCGGGACACCCTCCCCAGCTTTGACAGTTTGCTCTAAGGGCTCACAGAACTCAGGGAAACACTCTCCTTACTATCATGGGCTTACTATCAAGGGCAAAACTCAGGAGGGCCAAGTGGGAGAAATGCACGGGGCAAGGTACGTGGGATGGGGCACAGGCATGCCTCGCTCTCGGTATGGTCGCCATGGAAGCTCTCTGAACTCCTTCGCTTAAGGTTTTCTTGGAGTTTCCATTGGGCACAACTGATTAAATCACTGGCCACTGGGGACTGAGTCAATCCACAGTCCCTCTCTCCTCCCTAGAGGTCAGGGATGGGACTGAAAGTCCCTCCCCCCTAATCACAGGATTGGTTCTTTAGGCAACTAGCTTCCCTCCTCCAGAAGTCAGCTCATTAGCATAAACTCAAGTTTGGTCGAAGGCGCATTATGAGTAACAACAGATGTTCCTGTGATCCCTAGCACTCAGGAAATTCCAAGGGTTTTCTGAGCTCTGTACCAGGAGCTGGGGGTGAAGACCAAATATGGATCCCTTATCATATCACAACATCACTCACATTATTAAAAGTCCTCTTTTAAGTGTGTATATTGCAATGAGTTTTCAAGAACCTTAAATTGTCCTCTGAATTTATGATTATCTCTAGAGCTTCGGATATATGATCTAGTTATCCAGCCAAATTTTTACGTGCTGTTAAAAAGAAAACCGGTTGTTACAAGCCAAATATCAACTTCCATTCTTGTTGAATAAGTCATAAATATCCTAGCAACAAAGATGAATTTGCAGAGTTGCTATTCAATTAGCATTTCAAATGAATAAATGACTCCCTAAATCTGAGTTAGTGTTTATTATTATTTAAGAGATTAATCAATTAGCTTAGTGTCCTCAGTGCTAAGCTTACTAGTCAGAGTTGACATGAGAATAAAATGGGAAGTTAGAAACCATTATCATTACAAAGATACGGTTTTTATTTATTTTTCAATTACAGTTGATATACAACATTATATCAGTTTCAGGTGTACAACATAGTGATTAGGTATTTATATACACCATGAAATGATCACCCTGATAAAATCTAGTAGCCACCTGACATCATAAATAGTTTTTATGTTTTTTTAAGATTTTATTTATTTATTTTTAGAGAGAAGGGAAGGAAGAGGAAAGAGAGGGAGAGAAACACTGATGTGTGGTTGCCTTTTGCATGCCCCCAACTGGAGACCTGGCCCACAACCCTAGGCATGTGCCCTGACTGGGAATCGAACCGGTGACCCTTGATTCGAGGCCACCACTCAATCCAGTAAGCCACACCAGCCAGGGTTTATGTTATCGACTATATTCCCTATGCTGTACGCTACAATCCCATGACTATTTTAATAACCAGCAGCTTGTACTTCTTAATCCCTTCCAACTTTCTCGCCCATCCTCCAACCCCCTCCAATCTGGTGACCACCAATTTGTTCTCTTTTACAAAGATATTTGGATGGTTCTCCGAGGAACTGCACAAAGGATTAGGGCGAGCAGAGCTGCCTGGGTAGATCTGCTTCAGTCTTCACGGCCCAGCACGGCCCAGCACCAGGCACTGCGCCAGCTTCTGCAGAGGCAGCCGACAGGAATGGAAAGGCCTCGGCCCAGGGGAAACGGTTCCCATCTGGAAGGGATTTGTCAGCTATTCCTTACAGCTTTTTGATGGAGTTGCCAATATTTCCCCTGCAGATGTGGGGTGACCAGCTCAGCGATCGCAGGAGGAAGCTATTTGTGCAGACTTTACTCATCTGGAGTGGGAGGACAGGGAGTTAACACATGGAGACCATGGAAGAGAAGCCAAAAAAGAGCTCAGTATTGCAGAGAGAGGGAAAAACACTCTGGACAGAATAGAACATATTGCAAAAAACTGCACAGTGTGCTTTCTGTAGAATGTTGTAAAATGTCAACGAACAGACTTCGTGTGGGTTCCTGAGAATAAAAATATGTAACACCAGGGTGCTGAGACTCTAGAGAAAATTTGGGTGTGATGGTTACAGACCCAGTTACAGTCCCTAACAATCCATATCTGCATATTTCACCCTCACCTGCTGCGCTTCATTTCCTAGGGGTGGTTGGGGAGGAAAAAGTTTTCCTGCTCCCCTCCTAGGTTCTTTGATGGTCTAATGGTTAAACTGCCATGAAACAGGTTAAAAAAAGAAAAATGAATCTTTAATTTCCTAGGTATGGGAGCCCCATACAGATATGAGACCCAAGGACAAGTCAGGCAGTTGAGGCTTCTGCGCCCTCTTGGGCTAAGGGATGGGTCAGGGGCCTGGGCCTCCAAGGTGGGGAGGATAATTCACAAGAAGAACACAGGTCTGGTAATTAGATGGTTGCCATGCCGTACAGATGGGCCATTCCAATAAAAGTTATCTCTGGCTCTCTGAGCCAAGCCCCCCTGTCTAAATCCTTTTAGGCACTTTGTGGTGGCATCTTTTGCTGCCTTCAGAATCCTAGGACAAAACACCACACACCCTGGGTGGTGTAAGATGCATCGCTCCAATCTCTCCCTCTGTCTTCACGTGGGTTCTGTTCTGTGGGTCTCTGTGTGTCCCGACTTCCCTTTTTGTATAAGGACACCAGTCATACTGAGGTTAGGATCCACCGTGTCCTCATATAGGACCTTATCTGAAGTTGATTATATCTGCAAAGATCGTATTTCCAAATAAAGTCACATGCACAGTTCCTGGGCATTAGGGTTTGAATCATTTCTGAGGGGTGGGGGACACAATTCAACTCAGAAAATTACCTGTTACCTAGTTCCCTAGTTTGGCTGGATTACCTGAGGTCCCTTAAACTCCCACTTCAATTGGGAGCAGGAGCACCCGGGAGCTTGTTAGAAATGCACATTCCCAGGTCCCTCCCCTGACTTACTGGGTCAGGTGCTTGCAGGGAAGAGAGGAGGGAGAATCTGCTTACCAGGCTCTGCAGGTAATTCGGGGGCACAGCACAGTCTGAGACCACTGCCCTGGTCTTACCACTAATCTCTTTAGAAACTCTCGAGGCGACTCAAGAGCGGTGTCCTAAACTGGTGCTTCTTAGCTCTGAATTCCGGCAGTACCTTTCCCCATCAGTGTGTGGGCTTCCACCGCATCATTCCATCTCACGGTGCATTGATGGCTCTTGTGGAGACCTGTCTGCAAATAGGCTTGAGTGTGGCAATGGCTCCTCTCCTGGACTGTCATTCCTTGTGCTGTGTGCTGGGGAAGGATGCGAGAGTCTGGGCAGAGGGGTCAGGAGACCCACGGCCCACCCCCTCGGGGCTCAGCCTTCCTCGTCCTGCTGTGACTTGCAGCATCTTTGTGCCTTATCTTCCCCATCGGTCTGTAGGTCAGACATAGTAACAGCCAGATGCCCTTTTTAAGATCAAAGTTTTGTTTTGAAGTAAGATATGAAAACTCTTGGAAAGGTATGAAGTGCTTCTTGGCAAGGGAAGTTTTATTAACATAATTCTTTTTTCCCCCTTTTGGTAGATATTTTAAGATTCAGAAATGCTTCCTTTTTGGCTCCTTCTCTCTCCCTCTTTACCACGAATTCGTCCTCCTCATCTGGTGGGGGTGTGGCCAGATGTGCTACTGGAATGTTCCCCCTGGACACGTTTGCTGCCGTGTGTCTGTGAGTACGGGCGTTCGAGGGACCCGGTTGGGATGTGTATGTGCATGTCCCCGGTTGGGCTGTTTTGTCCCCTTCCACTCACCAGCTAGACTGAGTCACTGGCCTGTCACTGAATGGTGTCTGGCCAATACCGTGTGCAGAGAAATCACCTTTACCTTAAACAAGAAATTGCACATGTTCCAGAGGAATGCGGGCCACACCCAAATGTGACTGGGTTTCAGGGTCACCAGGAGATGTGCCCTGTCCCCAGAGACTCCTGTTCCTATCCTACAGCCACTGAAGATGAATTTCTGTTATTCATTCGCAAACATCTCCACAATCTGGCCTGTTGCTTCCCATTGGCATCCCACGTTGCTCCTTGGGGGAAACCAATGGGATCGCTGGCCCATAGTGCGGATGGTTAGATAAGATGCTTTCCTGAAAACCTCATTTAAAACGCCACCCTCTCCCCCTCCTCACCCCATAGGAGATGTCCATCCAAAGCGACCTTTATAAAAGTGATACCAACTTCATTGATAAATAAGTTGGTTTAGTTTGCATTTTAAAACATGTTAATGAGGGTTTCCCCCCTAAGTTTATATATCTGCTATTTATACTCCCCTCTCCTTTTCCCATGGGTGTTATTTCGGTTCTCATGGATTTTTAAAGTTCATTATATAAAGTATATGAGTCCTTAGTCATATCTCCTGATGTTTTTGTGGCTGTTTGTTTATAATTAGTTTTTACAATTATAAATAAGAAGGACTTTAGTGACATCCATTAATATTTTACTTTGTAATTTCTTTCATTTGTTTATTCTCGGCTACTTCCAACCCTTAGAAGTGTTAAAAAGTTATGTCTCTTCCAGTAGGGGGCGTGAGTGTTTTTGCGTTTGCGGGGCTGTTTTCTCTGCATCTTACCGTGGTGTTGGGGTGCCCTGGTGTCGGGGTGCCGGGGTGAGGGGAGTCTGGGCCACACATGTGTGTCTTCTCCCTGCAGGTTCCTCACCCTGCTCGGCCTCGCCCTCCCTCTGGCTGGGACTGCGTATGTGGCAGCCCGGGGCTGGGGGTCAGACTGCAGGGCGTCCCCCTCGCATGGGGCATGTTCGGCCACGTACGGGAGTCTGCCTTCGAGAGAAACGGAGAGGAGCGGACCAAGAAGCAGAAGCCAGGGGACGGGTGGCCTGTCCCGTGGCTCGCTGCCAGGAACCCCGAGCAGGGGAAAAAGTAGGCATTTGAATGAACTAAGACCACTCCTGGGAGGTGGCTTAGATGAGTCCAAAATTGGAAAATAATTCCTGCAGCACTGGCGTCCAGCGAATGCCCGACAGCTGCCAAGCGCCAGCGCGGAGGTTGGGTCTCTGCTCTTCACAATGCGGTCTTTGTTGCCCGTCCGTGTGCTCAGGCGAGGTCACCAAAAATGCCGCTTTATTTCTTGGGCACAGTTATCCAGGGTGTTTTTGAGCTACTCAGAGAAAGACTAGCTCAGCACAGAGCTTGGGTTTCTCCGTAGTGATCCTCTGAGGAACAATTCCGTGGTCGCATTGTGTGTTTTCAGTGTCACAACAACTCAGATGACTCACAGAACCTTCCTGGCGTGCCCCCAAGGTAAATGATTTACAGGCGCGTGAAGCCAGGGGAGCGAGTGTGCAACACAGCCGATTCAGACCCAGCGGAACACGCTGGAGCCAGGAACAGAGAGCCCGGCGCGGTGCGGTGAGGGTGGGGTGGCAGTGAGTCACGCTGGGTTGTGTTTTAGTTAAAAAATCAAGATTTTCATTTCCACCTGCCAGTATGGCAAAGCAAAGAGAACACACACACACACACACACACACGCACAACCTGGAGCAAGAATAGTCTAGTCATGCAGATGCCTTCAGAATGTGTGAAGTAATTTTTTGGCAGCGCCCCTGTGGGACCACGCAATTGTCCTTCCTTTAACTAGGAGGCCAAAAATAAATCCAGATTTCAATGAATGGACCAGAAGAACATGAGTATATGGTGAAGTGGTTCCAGGGAGTACGTCCAAGGTGAGGAGCAGAGGCATGATTTTATCAGATTCGGTTTGGATCTCAAAGCAAAAATGAAAACAATAGTGACGCCAACAACAACAAAACCCCCCCCCCCAACAACAGGAAAAACAACCAAAACCACGTCTGTAGTCTCCAGACCGGAAGCCGGCCGCCAGCCCCGGAACCCCCTGACGCCGTCGTGATGGGGTGATGGGGAGGGCTCGACTTTGGGCTCCTGTTCAGAGTCGGTCCCTGCTGCTCTGTAGTTTCTACCCACGGGCCCCGGTTGGGCCCTTTAGGGCCTCAGAACATCATCACCTTGCTTTCTTGTTTTGATTACAGCCCAGTCAGATTTGGGGGTCAGTTATGGTGGCCCCTCTCGAGGCTCAGAACCCCTCGATTATTTCCTATGTGAGCAGCTCCCTGGCTGCTGAGTATAAAGTGGCAAAAATAGCACGAGCTCAGCAGCCCCCCCTCAAACCCGACTTGGTTTCTGTCTGCCCTCGGTCAGGTTGTCGGGCCTCTGGGAGCCTCAGCTGCCACCTGTGCAGAATGGGAGCGCACAACGGGGTTTGTGGAAGGAAGTAAATGAGATAATGTACTTACCTTCATCCTAATGCGTTGTTACCTTCCTCATTCTCTTCAGTTAAGGCAGGACAGGGGGTGGGTGGAGGCCGGGACCTCTTGCCCTTCGGACCTTGCTGAGGTGGCCTGACCCCGGGAGGGACCTGCTGCAGGCGTCTTTGGCATGTGGACAGGGAGCCTGCAGCCAAAATCCACCACTGCTGACCACCAATAGGAGGGTATCCCAAGAGTCCGGCTTGGTAAGGCCAGATCGTAGGATTTAGGGCAGACCCACCTGGTATGGTGTCAGGAATTAGCCCCTGAAACGTTAGCTTCTTCACCCAAAATGACACTGTACGATCGGGAAAGTAAGGTTACGGTAGTTTTTTTTTAAGATGTTATTTATTTATTTATTTATTTATTTATTTATTTATTTTTAGAGAGGGAAAGGAGGGAGATAGAGAGAGAGAGAGAGAAACATCAATGTGCAGTTGCTGGGGGTCATGGCCTGGGGGTCATGGCCTGCAACCCAGGCATGTACCCTGACTGGGAATCGAACCTGCGACACTTTGGTTTGCAGCCCGTGCTCAATCCACTCAGCTACGCCAGCCAGGGCGGTAGTTTGTTTTTAACAGCTACATTTAACTGTGGCCCCCAAATGGAAGGGGCATGGTTTCCAATGTTCTGTTGCTGTAGCAATTTTTTTTGTATTTCATACCATCAAAGTAAAATACCACATTCCTGAATGTTTGAAAATGAAACTCGAGGTGCAGAGACCCCCTAGGCTCTGTATCATCTTCCCTCCGCTTTGACACTCCCTAGCGAGTCAGAGCAACCTCAGACCACCGGGTCTTCCGGAGGCTTGGAGCCAGAGTGGGTATCTCGCACTCCCGGTTCTGTATCTTCCAAATCATCACTGCGCTTGCTTGGTGTGGTTTCCCGTTACGTGAGCCTGTCCTTTGCCATTTAGATGAGAAGAATGTGAGTGAATATTTGAGGATGCTTTTGGGAAGGAAGCAGCTGAGGGTCTCAGCCCCTGGTGGCCAGGGCTCTTGCCCTGTGTTCGTTGCTTACAGTTGGCTCGTGGAGAGAGTAACCGAAAGGGGCTGCCAGGGCTTCTAAAGCCCGGTCACGGCCAGTGTCCTCGGACTTTGGTGAGCATCCTGACCTCCTGGAGGGCTGCCTGTCTCCCCCAAGATTCTGATTCCATAGGTCTGGGGTCTCTAACTAGGCCCCAGGCAGTGGTCCGGGGACCCCCACTTTGAGCCCTGCCCACGTGCATGCTTCCTCCGCTCCTCCCCATGCTCCTGGGGTTTGCAACACTTGCCTCTTACAAGTCTGTGAAATGGCGCTTGGACAGGCTGTCTTCCCTAGTGGCCATTTTCAGGAGGTTTTACAAGCTGCTGCTGGTTAAGTGGACCCACACGTAGACGCTGGGTGGAAAAAATAATAATGACAGCAAAGCATTCCGTATTTGCTTGCCTAGTTAGGCGTAGGGCCAGATGTTTGATAAACGTTCTCGAATTCTCACAGAGAAGTGTGTTTAGCTGACCAGCGAGGAAGCAGGCCCAGGGAGGCTCAGAGACTGGGCGGAACTGGGCAGGGCCTGGGACTGGGGTCTCTCCACTACAGTCAGTGGCTCGTTGGGGAGCCGAGGGGACTGGGGACGCGAGGTGTGGGACCCCCCACGGTGCTGCGGCTCTGCCCGTGCCTGGCGAGGGAAGAGTCCTCTGAAACGAGAGGATGGGCAGGTGCATCTGAGAGCGACTCCGGTGGGAAAGCGCCCAGTTACAGCTGCAGCCTCCGAATGCGCGGCAAGTCCATTCTCCCGTTTAAAAAATCGACTTAGATTTCCAGGGCTGGGTTATCGGCCATCTCTCCCTGGTGAATAAATTTCAATTCCGCAAGGACTTCGGGGGCCCACCCTGTTCGAGGCACCCAGCTCCGTCCAGGAGAAAAATACGAATCTCTCGGAGGCGGCTTGAGCTCTGGAGACTCCGGTTTCACAGTTCTAGCCACTTAATGGGCTCTCAGAATGAGCTACATTACACTGAAAAAATAAAGGGAATAAGTAGAAGGGATTAACTATTCTTAAAGCAATAGGGCTTAATTAAAATGGCGAGCAGAGCAGCTGCGACATCATCTCATTTGTTCTTCACAATAATCCTGTGATTAAAGATCTACTTTGGTTCCCATTATGCAGATGTGGGAATTCAAGTGCAGAGAAGTTAATTTCACTTAGCGAAGGTCACAGAGCTAATAAGCGACAGCCAGACTCAGCAAGGAATGTCTGGTTATGAGGTCCGCAGCCTCAGCCCTGGACCACCTGCCTCTCTGTTTTCATACCTGTTCCTTGACAGGTAGGGATGTTATTTGCACGTGGTTCATCCTTGGAAGAGGACCAGGGATGCCATTGCTAGCAAATGCTGGCCTTGTGTCTAGGTTCCCCTGCCCCAACCCTTTCTAACACAGGACTGTGGTCAGGCATTAGCATCCTGAGGCCTGAACTTGGACAGTGTATTCTGTGCAAGGCTGTGTGGGCACCAACCTCAAGTCATGTCTGTTAGGCAAAGTCAAGGTCATTGGGGAGGGAGACCAAGTCCGAAAATCCACTCATAGATCAATAGGGGACGATGGAGAACTGAGTTCAGTGGTCCAAGGTCACGGCGAGGGAGTATCCGGTGACAGTCAGGATCACGGGCATGTGCGTTGGCTCTCATTTGTGGGGCAGCGTGCGGACGGATCTGGCCCTCCGGGTAGGCAATAACACCTTTGCTCTCGCCCAGGGTTTCTAGGAGCCGTGGACCACGCTCTGAAATGCTTTTCTTGGCAGAAGACTGTGCCGGCCATCTGGGCTACCAAGACGCCAGGAAGCACGTGCTCTGCACTGGACGGCATCCGAGTCTTGAGTCTCCTCTGGATCATGTCGGGGCATACCGGTCAGATGACCGCGTGGCTGTCCTTGGGTGCGGACAACCGATGAGCCTTGGGGAGCAGTCACGGGAGAGAGCATCTTTTGTGTGAGGGGGTCACATTGGGCCACAGGAGGGGAGGCCTCAGATTTCCTTCTGTTTCCAAGACATGGCTGTGACCTCCCGTCAATGAGTTCTCCTGGCCAGTGTCCAGTGGCTGTTTACCTCCTCCAAGGTATCAGTCAGGCCCCCTGGGTACAGGTGACTGTGATACCGGAGTGCTGTATTTTCATTGTCCAGGCAGATGGGTTCTCTCTCATCATGATCAGTGAAGCCACAGACTAGCATTCTTTTTTTCTCCAGGAAACACAGGCAAGCATAAACACATCTTGCGCATTAGTCAAACCCATGTTTCTCGACCTTCTCCCAGTCCCTATGCCTCCGAAGCATTCCCGTTTAAGCACCCCCAGTGCGACTCTCTCACCAGCAGCCAAATATAGGTGCCAGAATGGGGGCGGGGAAGGGCTGTGTGAAGAACCCCCCCACGAGATCCGCACCGGCCCACCAGCGGGTGGGTGATGCTGCTGTAGCCCCACAGGGGCTGAGGCCACTGGGATAAGCCAGCAGAGTGTGAAGCCTTAGTTACAGTCAGGCACCTCAGTCACCCCTCTTAGTTTTGGTCCCTTTAAGGGAATGATGAAGAGCATAAAACCCTCCCAATACAACTGAACGTTGAAGGTGTTCCTCTTGCTTTTTCCGAAAAGATAAATCTCACGATTTTCTTCTCCTAAACAAGTGGACACCGCCTTCCCTGTTTGTTGCAGACAATGTGCTTGACTGGAAAGCCAGGGTGCTGAGAAACCCGCTGTACCTGTGCTCCCGGAGCGGCCCGTTCTACCTGGGGGTGGACTCGTTCTTCCTGATCAGGTAACCGGTGTCTGTTTCTGCTGCCGCGCTCGCTGCCCTTTGTCTGGGGACGTGTGTGCGAGTTGCCCTTCTCACTTTAGAGAGAAAAACTGGACAGCTCACCTTTACTCACCGGGCCTTTGCTTCTGGCCGTCTCTGGACGAGCCCCTCTCCTCCGTATGTGCAGTTTAGTGAATGAGCGAGGACGGCTCTCTCAAATAAGCCTTTGACAAAAAGTGGTTTTATTTCTCCAAATCGTTTATTTTAGTGGCTCTCAAACATGGTTCATAGATGGATGCGGATCCATGGTAAAGTTGCTAGTTCTCGCTGTAGGAAAATGTGGAGAAAAAAAGAGAAAATGGTGGCGTTGTTTCATAAAGCTATGTTTATCTCAATGTACTACTAAAAGGTAAAATTTCTTACTTGTTTGGAGAATGCCAGGTACTGTGTGAAGTACTTTGAAACATTACCTCACTGAATCCTCATGCTCCTGTGCGGTAGGGACTGTTGTCAAAATCCCCATTTGGGGATGTTCAGAATAGTATAGGAAATGGAAAAGCCAAAGAACTCATATGTATGACCCATGGACATGAACTAAGGCGGGGGAATGCTGGAGGGAATGGGGGTACTGGGTGGAAGGGGATAAAGGGTAGGAGAAAAATGGGATGACTGTAATAGCATAATCAATAAAATATACTTTAAAAATAAATAAAAAATAAAAACACTAAGATCTGGTGATGTGGGGCTGGCATTCTACAAAAAAAAACAAACAAACCCATTTTATAAGTTGAGATGAAATTCACGTAACATGAAATCGACCGCTTAAAGTAAATAATTTAGCGCATTTAGCACGTTCACAAGGTTGTACAGCCAACACTTCTGTCCAGTTCCAAACATTTTCGTCACCCCCAGGGGAACCTCGTGCCCATGAAGAAGTCACTCCCCAGCCGCCCCTGCCCCCATTCCTGGAAACTTGCTTTCTGTCTCTGCGGGTTTACCCGGTCGGGCATTTCATGGAAACAGAGTGTGTCACATGTGGCCTGTGGTGCCGGCCTCCGTCCCTTAGCGCGATGTTTTTGACACCCGTCTGTGTTGTAGCCGGTGTCAGAACTTCATGTCTTTGCGTGGCTGGGTCATAGCCCACTGTAGGGACAGGCCACAGAACCTCCACTCGGAAGAGAAGGAAACTGAGACTGAGGGGCACAGTCCCGGCGGACCCGTGACTGAAACCCCGGCACCGGACTCCGGAGTCCAGGAGTTCACGTTTTAGCCACGGGGCTGGCCCGCCTCTCCCTCTCCTGAGCTGAATGTGCGCCTTCCTCCTTCACAGGGAGGCGGTGATGGGAGACGGCAGCGCTTCTGATCGGATGCTAAGCATCCAGCCAGCCAGCCAGCCAGCCAGCCACGGCCTGGTGAATGTCTGTTTGCCAGGCATCGTCCTGGGTCTTGAGATACAGCAGTGGGTAAAATAAACAAGGACCTCCCCTGGTGCTTCCGTGTGTGTGTGTGTGTGTGTGTGTGTGTGTGTGTGTGTACGTGCATAGGAAACCAGCAACAAGCATAGAAATAAACAAGAAGCAAGCTGGTGGTGATAAACATCAGGGAAGAACTAGATGAGGAGATAGAATGAGCAGCCGTTTCAACGAGGTTGGAGAAGCCTTGTCTGAGGAGGGGCTATCCCATCTGAAGAAGCCCACCAGGAGAAATATCAGGGCAAGAAAGGTCCCGGCAGAGGGAGCAACCAGGGCAAAAGGGCTAAGTCGAGAGAGAGTGAGCCCTGTTGAAGGGCACGAGAGGCCACGGGTCATCCTGAGCCCTCAGCAGGGAGTGGAGACAACAGAAGGAAGGCTGGAGCAAGGGGCAGGTGTGGCGGAGAGGGCGAAGGTGAAGGCAGGAGAGGGGGCGGGGCTGACCCAGGAGGACCTTGTAGCAATGCCAAGAAGTCTGGGCAGGAGTCTTGGTGAAATGGGAGGTCACTGGATTGCTTTAGTTTGGAAGGTGATATGATCTGACACTTTAAAGGGGTCACTCTGGCTCCCATGTCAATAGCAGATCTGAGAAGGGCCGGGGCGGAAGCAGGAAGACCAATCAGGTGACCTTTGTTGAATTTCAGATGAGAAATGTTAAGCCTTGGCCTGGGTGTTGCTGGCTGGGATCGCGAGAAGGCCATGTTCCAGATGCGTTTTAGACGTGGCATCGTTAGAACGTGTCGGTGGTTGGATGTGAAATGTGAAAGAAGGAGGAGCTGAGGCCCACGTCTAGGTTTGGCTTCGGGGACTGAGCAGGTGGTGGTGACGTTAGTGGTTGACGCGGAAGAGATCAGAGGAGGAGCAGGGCTGGGAGGCAGAAGCCCCGCTTCCCGTTTCGGACGGGCTGAGGCTTAGGGACCTCGCAGACCTCCAGGCAGAGATGTTAAGTAGGCAGGTGCCTCTGTGGGCCTGGAGCTCAGTGGAAAGGCCAAGGCCGGAGAGGGAAATTCGGAGTGCCTGGAATACAGGGGGGTTTTAAGGCCACAGCACCAAGTCGGATGCCGGGAGGAGCATGGGAGGGCAGGTTGGGGCCGAGCCCTAGGACCTCTGACGTCCCAGCCTTGAGAAGCTGGAAGTAAGAGGAGGAGCCAGGAAAGGAGTTTGATGGGGCCTTTCTTGTCCTCTATTTAAAATGACCCACCCCGCACTCTCCTTCATTTCCCCTGATTGGTTTGTTCCCTCTATCTAATCACTATGGCTGCCTCTCCCTCCTTCTCTCTATCCCCCTCCCCGCCTCTTGTCCGTCTCCGCTGGAACGTAAGGCAGGATGTTTTCTGTTCCGTGTGCTGCTATCGCCGGCGCGGAGTGCAGTACCAGGCACGTAGCACTGCTCAGTGCAGCGTTGCTGGAATGATTTCTTCACTGTCTTATCTCAAGGCTCCAGTGTGGGAGTTTCTTGGGCAGAAAAAGCAGGGTGCAGAATAAGCTGAGGCCTGCCCACTAGGGCAACAGGTCACGCTAGGAGGTGGCCAACGTGACAGCAGGCAGTAGCCGGACAGGCGAGGGTCAGGGTCCACCGTCGGCGGCGACCCCAGCAGAGATACGGAACCGCCGGGCAGCAGACGTCCCAGCAGGGCACAGCTGGGTCTAACCCGGAGGGGAAGCCTGGCTGCAGGAGGCCTAGGGCAGCCGCCGAGGGCAGCCTGGGCAGCCTGGGCAGCCTGTCCACAGCCCGGCAAGGACCAGAACTCTGTTCCCTGCAAAGGAGGCTAATACGAACAAGGCAGAAACAAACAAAAACAAAAAAACAGAAGAAAAACCCCACCCCACACCATGTGCTGAATGCACTTGTGGGCAGAGCTCCAAGCTCTGGGAGGGCGGCTGGCAAGGACCCATTAAGATGGCTGGAACCACAGGCAAGCTGCAGCTGCAGGACTGCCACTGGGAGGGAAGAATGAAGGACGTGAAAGTCCACCGGTCATCCCGGACCATCAGTGGGAAACTGGGATGACAGAGCAGCCATCGGGTCAGCCCTCAGGTGTCCAAAGCACAGACCCAGGTGACTGAAATTCCAAATGTCCAAGAAACTGCAAAGCTACGCCCCCTCACAGCTGGCTCGGGGGGCAGCCCTGCGAGAGCTGCTCCTGCTGTCAGTGGGTCTGAGCGTCTGGCCCTTGTGCAACGGCAGCAGCATCACCTGGAAGCTTGTTCGAAATGCAGATTCTCAGGCCCCACCCAGACCCCCTGAATCAGACACCTGGGCTGGCACACGCCGTCCAGCTGCCGCTGCCGCCGCCGCCACCACGACTGAGCCCCGGCGAGGTGAGGACTCGGACCCTGAACCGCGTACCCTAGATCCCAGAACTGTCGAAGAAACAAAGAAATACATTTTTTTCTTCACCGCTGTTTGCTTTTACTTTTCATTGCCAGTCTCAGTAACTATTTTTTCATTACTAGTTTATTTTACTACTTTATAGAGTGCATATAAGGCTTTTAAGGGAACTTTGTGTCTGGACAGTGGAAACACTGCTAAGCATGATAGCTCGCATGGCCACTCCGCTAAGAGCTTACAATCTCCCATCCCGCACGCATCTCCCAGTCGACCTATGGGGCCGCAACCAGTATCAGGCCCATTTGACAGATGAGAGAGTTGGTGTTCAGAGATGGAACACCTTGCCCAAGTAAGCCCCCCAGCTGGGAAAGTTAGAGTCAGAGGTCAAGTGGAATGTTTGTTTCGTGGCAAAACTATGTCTTAACCATGACGTCACTGATGGGTTCACACGGGAAAACCAAAGATGTGGAGGGTGACCGGTGACACTTTGGAGTCCCTTTCCGCCTCTCCGGGTGAGACTTCTCTGCTGCAGGACTTCACTCCCTCCCAGTCCGTTCAGGTCTCCGGCTCTTCTCGGTCTCCTGGAACCGCTTGTGTTACTCAGAGCCTGGTTCCTGCCAGCCTCTGCCTCTGCCCTGTCCTCGTGGGCTGGAAGGCTGCACAGCGCACACAGAGGGACACGCAGGCCTTGCTTAGCAACCGCACTGGCCGAGGGCAGCCAGCCGGTCGTGCTGAAAGGACAGGCTTGTTCAGGCCCCTGGTTCTTCCTCCCCTAAACTTCCGAGGAGGCCGGAATGAGAACCGACTTCCTGACTCCACACTGCGGTGCTCTTTCTTAGACGTCTCTGTGAGCTCTAGCTGGCAGGGAACGGAGACGCCCTCCAACGGTCCCTGATCCCTCCCAAGTCCCACCCAGCGGACGGGGCCTTTTGTAGAGGAAATGCTCTCGTTCCTGAGGGAAACGCCCACAAGGATCATTTTTACACCGAGGACGGGGAAACTCACAAACTTGTTTACCGTCCATCACGTTACGTACGACTCAAAGGCCTAAGCTCTGTTTCTTTAACTGAACGCTCGTGAGTTTGTCATCAGGACGCGCTGGTCGGGAATTCTCATGGGGATCTTGGGCGGTGCATGTAACAGTCTTGGAGTCTTGATGTCTGTATCAGGCAGGCAGGATCAGTAATACTGTCCCCTTTACTTAATAGGACTGTTCATTCACTTATTTGATTATTCACTCAAAAACCATAGCAAAGTAGTTGGTAGGGCTCAAGAAGCAAGAGCAACCCCAGTGAAGGTACTTTGAAAATGACGTGGTACTACAGAAATAAACGATTAAAATTTTTTATTGACTGATTTTAGAGGGGGGGGGAGAGAGAGAGAGATCTATTTTTTTATTGTTGTTGTTGTTCTACTTATTTATGCATCCATTGGTTGATTCTTGCGTGTGCCCTGACCGGGGAAGAAACCAAAGACCTTGACATTATTTCACTGCCAAGACCAATGTGACCATGACTAGTATTCACCAAATATTTCCAGCTCTCCTCCCTCCAGACACTCGGTAACATGACATTTTCTGGCCCTGTAGCAGTTGGTGGGCCACATTGCTAGGTCTGAGCTGGTACTAGCCTCGTGCTGAGAGCTTTAAACACAGCCTTTCTGGGCTAGGCCAGGTGACCGCTGGTTTGAGGCCTCTGGAACTCTCTCGTCCGCTGCTATGATCTCTGGTGCACTTGGCGGACTCCACCAGCCTGGGTCCCTGTGCTGAAGTCACTGACCCCAAAGTGGATGGCCGTGGGCATGTGGTAGAAGCAAGAAAAAAAAACGCTTGCTGTGTTAAGACTTGGAGGTGTTTTGTTATGGCAGCGTCATTTACCCTGCCTTGACAGAGACAACCAAATTAACCAACCGATGAGCTGTATCACTCACTGGCAGATGATTCCTGTGACTCTTCTCGTTCTCTCAGTGGCTGGTTGAGTGTGAAGTCGTTTTTAAAGATGCAGCGGTCTCCAGAAGAAGGAATAACTGCTCGTGTCATACTGAGATACTACTTTAATCGCTTCATGAGGTAGGTTTATTTGTATAATTCCTCAGTTTACTATGGCGGTATAGAACTTTCTGATCTTTAAATTCTCTAACTCTCTTTTGAAATAATTTTTAAAGTAAAATAAATGGAGCGACATCATTTGCTTCCTTAAATATAGTTGGTTTTTACTGGCTTAATGTCTTTTGCCAATGGGAAATTCCAGTTTCCTGGTATTTGTCCTAATAAAATTTGAGCTCTCTCAAACCAGCAAAAACATCCTTATTCCTTATGCTGATGGGCAGCAGATTCCAATAAAGGTACTGTCAGGGTTTCACGGAATCCTTATTCACCAGGAGAATCTGTACGGCCCCTGCAATGGGTAGTAATTGGGTCCTGCAAATAGGAGTGTTAACGGTAATGATGAAGATAAAATAAGATACAGCCAGGAGACAGGCTGGTTGGTGCTTGGGACAGCGGTCATTCTGCTGGGGGAGAGGCCGGGTGGTGGTCTGCACGAGTGTGTGGTTGGTGGGGCCGGAGGACGGCAGTGTTGGGTCAGAACATGAAGTCGGTGGGACGGCAGAGTGACAGGCATGTAGCAGGACAGTCTACGTTTAGAGAGAAACGACCTTCAACTCATGGAACCCAACCCCTCCATTTATATATTTTCCAAATCAATTAGTTGCTGGACTAGAGGCCAACTCTCGTCCCTCCGGGCCCATGCCCTCCTGCCACACTGTGCTGCCGTGACGTCAGGAGGGGATACTGGAGCCGTCTTCTGGGCTAATGGCGTAGGGCGGGGAAGAACGGACTGTAGCTCATCTGCCGGGCTTGTCTTCTGGCCCCATCACTTACCAGCTGTGTGACTTTGGGCCAGTGTCCCAGCCTCTCTGTGCTTGAGTTCTCCCATCGTAAAAGTGGGGAAAATAATGACATCATTTCCTTGCACCCTCATGAGGAGTAAGTGGGATAATGGGTGTAAAGCACTTAGAAAAGGACGTGACACCCAGTAAGCCTTCGATACATGTAAGGTATCATTATTACTATTGTTAGTGCTATGTACGCCTTTTGACTTTTCCTGCAAATAGGTTAGGAATGAGCGCAAGCTACGGCAGAGACCTTCATTGATTGGCTTTCGCCAGGGCTGTGGGCTTCCCTCCAAGCGCTGTTAAACCTAGCCCTCTCATCCTGGGAGGGACAGAACGCTTCTTCTGTCACTGTGGGTGGGGCGTGTGGCACTGGGTCAAGGACCCCGCCTGCCCTGAGTCTTCGGGAGGAGAGGGAGTGGCATTCGGACTGCGGGTTCACAGGGATGAGATGGGGTGGCTAGGGTTTGTGGTGGGGATTTAATAGCGCGGCGGGTTCTGCCCAGTAAACTTGCTCCAGAGGAAAAATCCTGGAGCTGGGATTGAAGAGCAAGAAGTGTTTCACCAGGCGGATCAAGCCATGGTGGGGGACAGGGAGAGCTCAGGGTGGGAGGTGGGGGGTGGTGGTGAGGCATGATGGGGCAAGGTGGAGGCAAGGGCCCCGGTGAGCACATTGCCGCACCATCTGGGCCGGGGAGCGGGATTTGGCGAGGCGATTGCCGGTGGGAATGGAGAAAGGGCAAGTGAAGGACACTCCCGTTCCTGGCCTGAGCGACATGGCAGATGGTGGTGACATTCTTGAGACAGGGAGGTCTGGAAGAATTCCAGATCGGACCAGGAAGAGAAGGAGTCCAACCTGGGACAACGCTTTCGACAATGGAGGGGACTGTCGCCAGCCCACTGTTTGGACTCTCCTCTTCCAGGTAAACCCAGTGGAAAAGGAGCCATATCCTCTGAGGTTCTTGTTCATGCTGGCAAACTCTCTGTTACCGCTCAACTACCATTTGTTCCTTGCCTGCTTCCCTCCAAGAGGAGCGGGAGTAAGACCATTAGTTCACGCCCTCGTTCTGTATTTACCGAGGGTCCGCTATGTGCTGGGCACTGGGCTAAGCCCTGAGGATTTAGCAGGTAATAAACCACGCAGCGCCTTCCGGCATGGAGGTTACATTCTGGTGAATAGAGTTAGACAATAAACAAATAAGTAGGCAACATTCGGTTGCAATATGCAAGTGAATTTATAACCGGTCAGTGATGATAAATGGCACAGAGTGATAATCTGGAGAAGGAAATAAGACAGGGTCTTCCTCTGTAAGGTGGTCAGGGAAGGTGACGTTTGTCAAGAAATGTTCTAAGCAGAGAAAGTGCTCTGAGGGAAGACGGGTCCATTCGGGGGGAGCAAGTACAAAGGCCCTGAGCGGAGAGCGGGCTTGGTGTGTGTGAGGAGCCTCGAAGGGCCCGAGGGTGCTGCAGTGGGGACCAGAGGAACGAGGTCGGAGAGGCAGGGCCAGGTGGGTGGGCGGCCCCAGTGCTGCAGGGTCTGGGGGCCACCCGAAGGACTTTCCATTTCACTCTGAGACGAGAACCTTGGGCGTCTTCCCCATTCTGTGGGGCAGTGGCGTGGTCACCTGTGCATTCCACAAGGGTCACTCGGGCTGCAGGGCCGAGGACAGACGGTGACCCGGGCAGGGGCAGGAGACAGCGGACCAGTGCGGAGCTACTGCACGTCCTGAGAAAATGCAAAAACCCAACTTCAAGGGTCAATCAGCACAGCGGCGATCTCATGGGAAGGGGGTAGATCGGAGGCTCCAGACCCTTAAAACGATGTGACGCTTCCCACCAGGACCCACATTTAAACAACGGGGTTTTAGAAAGATAGGCTGTGGCAGGAACATCTAACTGTAACAGATGGTCGTACCCCTCTGTGAGGGGCCCTGCCAGCCTCGCCTCGCACGGGGCACCTTTGTGAACAGTTTCTTGTGGATTCTTGCGGAGACTTTCCAAGCATTTTATGCACTTTTTTAATGTCTAGGATTATGCACATATAATGCTATATATACTATTTCCACATAGCACTTCATGATTTCACGTTGGCATATGCTATGTGCATGCAAGGACCTGCCTCCCTGGTTTGAAAGGTGGCCCGGGTGGCACTGTGTGGGTAGACCATCATGCGCATAGCCCGTCCCCATCAATTGGCATGGAGGAAATTTCCCAGTGTTTCACTGTTTCAGATAATGATGCCATGCTCGTGTGTACGTCTCCGTGCCATTGTGTGAGCGGGTTTGCAGGTAAACTCCTACCAGTGTAACAGGTGGTTTGAGAGCCTGCTTCTCAGACCTCCCCAGCGTGGCCAGTATGGCACATTTGCATCTTTGAAAACCCACTCTGACTCTGAGTCTTCTGGAAGCTTGGAAAAAACACTGAAGCACGTGTACATTTACATGATGCTTTCAGCGTTTCAAACTGTGCTCTTGTTGATCTCATTTAATTCTCAAAAGAATCGAAGGGGGCAGAAATCCTCCTCCTTTGAAGAATAGAAGGAATCGTCACCTGTGTTTTCCATGGAAGAGGAAACACAGATGTGATCTGATTTTCTCCGTGTGAAAAATGTAGACAAAACCAGAACTCACGTTTCTTGCCCTTTCCCTCCCCATAGCCTCGCTCCTGACGCTGGGCCCACCCAGCAGCCTCCGCCCCGCACTCGCAGCCTCGAAAGAATGCAGAGGCTGCATTTTCACCAGCGCCCCAGGGAGGGCTGTGGTTAACGGGTGGGGGGTGCAGCCTGTGCCACGCTCCTTCCTGCAGACGTCTGACCTGAGCTCTGCTTCAGATGGGAGCAGGGGCTAACTCACTCTCCGGGGGAGGGGGAGGAGTCAGACCGTGGGAAGGGAGGCCGGTGGAAGCACCCAGGGAGGGCCCAGCACCCCGGGAGGGCTCCGGGACTGTTGCCTGAGCTGATCTCTCACAGTCCAGTGTCCTCACTCCCTGACTCTGACGGGCATTTCCCCCGCCCTCCTGGACACTCCCTAGGAAGGATTTTATCGTTCTGGGGAGGACAGGAAGCCCATGGAAGCCCACGGGTCTGGGTCCTGAGTGCAGGCCAGAGGCTGGGTGCTGGCCCGTGATGATGCCGAGGGGGCACTCCAGCAGCCCCACCCTTCCCACCTGTCACCCCCCACCCCCGGGCCCTGACGCCCCCACCGAGATGACGGAGGTGCTGCCGGGCTGCGTGCTCTGCCCTTAGTTGCACTACCCTGGGCTTTTAAATGTGTGTTGTTTTTTTTTTAAAGATTGGATTTATTTATTTTTAGAGAGGGAAGGGAGGGAGAAAGAGAGAGGGAAACATCAATGTGCGGTTGCTGGGGGTCATGGCCTGCAACCCAGGCATGTGCCCTGACTGGGAATTGAACCTGTGATGCTTTGGTTCACAGCCTGCGCTTAATCCACTGAGCTATGCCAGCCAGGGCAAATGTGGTTTTTAAAAAGAGGTCTCTGACCACAGCCCACCCAGAATGGCGCGTGCCTCCCTGCCACAGCTGTGCTTGAACACCTGACACCCATGTTGTCCCGCAGGTGGCCGCCTGACACGGGGCCCCGGAGTCTGCTGCCACACATTCTAAAGACTGAGTAGAAGAAAAAAGAATGTGAGATTACTCAGTAGTTTCTTATGTTGGTTACCTGCTGAAATAATGGGATCATGGACTTGTTGGGCTAAATAAAGTACCGTATTTTGCCGTGTATAATGCACACTTACTTTTGCCCAAATTTGTAAGGGAAAAATAAGGATGTGCATTACACATGGGCAGTACTAATTCAATATTTATGTAAATGTTTTTAATTCTTTTTTAAAAAAGATTTTATTTATTTATTTTTAGACAGAGGGGAAGGGAGGGAGGAAGAGAGGGAAAGAAACATCAGTGTGTGGTTGCTTCTCACATGCCCCTCCCCCACAGAGGGCCTGGCCCACAACCCAGGCATGTGCCCTGACTGGGAATCGAACCAGCGACCCTATGGTTTGCAGGCCGGTACTCAATCTACTGAGCTGCACCAGCCAGGGCTGCAGTTCTTTTATTTATGCTTATGTGTTAAAAGTGTAACTCCAGAAAGCAATAATGATATCTGTATGCAAAATAATGGCCTGGATATATGAGAATCGGTTTTGTTTGTAAATATACATAAATAAATAATTGAATTAAAAAAATGGAATTAAAAATTGAAACGAAAGACTTTTTTTTCCTGAAAGTTTGGGCCAAAAACATGGGTGTGCATTATACACAGCAAAATATGGTACATCACGAAAATGAATTGTACCTGTTCCTTCTGACTTTTAAAAACGTGGTCACCGGAATACCAGGGGCCCGCTATGGCTGGAATTACATTTCCACCGAACAGCACTGGTCTAGACCCTGGGTGCCTCATCCATCGTCTTCGTAGCTGCTTCACATCCCGCTGGGAAGGAGGCGGGGCGTGAGGGAAGGAAGGGAGAGATAAATCAGGGGAGGGGGAGAGGGAGAGAGGGGTGGAGGAAGACGTTTTCATCCTGGGAGGCCACATGGGAAGGACGGGGCTGATGGCGGGTCTACCGCTGTGCGGCGGAGCCCCCGGGGGCCAGGCACCCGAACTTCCCCGAGCTACGGTTTCCTCGTCGTTAAAACGGAGGTGACAGTTACCTGATACGAGTAGTCTGAGGTTTGGAAGTGTCTAAAAAGTCCCCAGCTCAGGGGCTGACAGGGACGACGTGCTCAGTGAACAACGAACAGTGTTTGGCGTCAGCAGCCCCCGAGCCAGCACGTGATAGGGGCACACGGAACGAGTTTGAACCCACGCGTGTTGGAGAGCGTGTGACCTGTGTTAGAGCATCTTCCCCCGTTTCTATGTGCCCACCCGGGGTGGGGAGCGGGCCCACGGCGGAGTCACCCTCTCTCGCCCTCTGTCTCCTGCCAGGCTGCAGCCTCTCCACGTGTATTCCGTGTGCTTGATGGTTGGCGTGTTCCCCCTCGTGCCCTGGGGACCTGTCTGGGAGGTGCCTGAGCTCCACCTGGACAACTGCCGGCAGGCGTGGTGGACCAACTTGCTGCTGCTCAACAACTTCCTGTCGGTCCGGAATGCGGTGAGTCCCGGGGCGTTGGCTGCCAAGGGCAGATGGGTGCAAAGGCCGTGTCTCATGTCATGCAGTTCCATGAACTTCCCACGGGCCAGCTGGAGGAGTCTGGTCCCCTTTCTCCTGGCATGTTCTCTGGAGTAGCCGTGATGCTGTGGGAAGGCGGGCTGTGGGCAGGGAGGCCAGTCTCTGGTGATGGAGGGGCGGCGACTACACCAGTCTTGGCGGGGGCAGTAGCGGGGAGAGGCAGAGGAGGAATCAGGGGACTGGGCACGGAGGGGCCAGCCACCTGGGGGCATGTCCTGAACGCAGCTGGCCCTGCTGCGTCACGGTTCCTGTCCCAGTCCATGGCGCCCCGGGGGAAGGACGGTTTCTTCACCTCCACACGGAGAGCCTACGGTGGGGTGGAACATTGCACCGCGCCCTCGCCGTCGTGAATTCTGTTCCACTTCAAGCCACATCTGACAGAGCAACAACAGTTGCATACACTGGTCTCGGCTTCCCCAAAGCCCTAGCTTCCTTGCACTGAACTTGGAGCCAATGCGAGCGAGACAGCGGTAGCTGCATCGTGTCCCTGGCTCGCACACGCCTGGCAAGTGCAGCCGCAGAGAGGGTCACTAGAGTGGGGCCGATGACACATGTAACCACTTCCCGACTACACGCTATCTTCCTCGCACGAGTGCCCAGTGGCTCCGACAGGGCGTGCGTCGCCATCGTGCTGCCCGCGGGTGGGCCCACGTCCGGGACGCGGGCCGACGGAGGGTGCAGGCTGCCTGGGGCTGCGCTGCCTCTCTGAGGTCAAGCCCATCTTAGATCCTCGGGAGCGGAGGGGTGCGGGCTGTCACATCTGAGTCCTCACCCATTTCCCCGCCCTGGAACTTGTCTCCAACTGGCACCAGGAAAGCTGTCCCTTCTGTTGGGTAAATCTGGTCGTCCTTGGGTGGAGGGGGTGGGCAGGGAGACCAAGGCGCCTTTTGTCGCTGAGGCCAGAGGGTTGCCCCCAGGGACTTCCAGGCAGAAAGAGAAAGACAGGTAGCTGCCTCCTTCCGCACCAACGTGGACAGCCTGTGGAAAGAGGTGGCTCAGGCCAGATGGTCCCATGTCAATCACGCGTGGGAACTCTGGGTTTCCCACGTAACTTGTCTGGGGCTAGGCCTCCACTCTAAAGGGACACACTCTCTCCTCCCAGAGGGGAGGGTGCTGGGGAACGTGGGTGAGGCCAGGAGGCGAGGACCACAGTGTCCCTTCTGACTCTGCCGCCCCACAACAATAATTAATTAACCCTTGCATTTGTGTAACATACAGGGTTTAGTTCCCACAACTGTCCTTGGGGATTAGCTTTTTTTTCTTTTTAAGCAAGAGAGAAAAATGAATTTCTGTGTTGGAAATGGGAACTTACCATCCAGGCTTGTTACACAGATTAGATGCGGTGAGGCATGTGTGAGGTATCCGTGACCCAACATTCCCGCCTCTTCCTGCGGGAAGTCCTCCCAGTTCTCCACTGAACGCCCTCCAGTCTGGGCGGGGAGGACGTGGCTGGTCAGTGACGGAGAGAGGTCACCTTCGCTCTCTTTTCAGTGCAACGGCTGGACGTGGTACCTTGCCAACGACTTTCATTTCCACCTCATGACGCCCGTGATCATGTTCATCCACGGAAAGTGAGTCTTACAGGGACACGTTTTCTCCACGTGTGCCCTTTCCCACGAAACTCCGAGAGGGCGCTCCAGTTCTGGGGAGAGCCGCTTTGGGCCCTGGGGCTGCGAACCTCTCCGAAGCGGCTACGATGTGCAACCCTCCCCGCCCCCCCCACCCCGCCCCACTGCTCACCTTCTCCTGAGCACCCCCCTCCTGCCCCGCCTCCCCAGGCTCTGCCCCAGGCAAACCGGTCTGAGTCCTTGCAGAGTGATGACCAGAGTGTTTCCCGTGGAACAACGTTCCTGCAAACATTCCCACGTGGTGACGTGGCCTGCACGCTTGTCGGTTTCAGGGTGAACTACTGTTTTGACGACCGGGCATCCAGATCGTTTCCAAGTTTTCATGATGGTGAAAGGCACTGCAATGAGTGCCCTGGAACCCGCTGCTCTTTCCCTTGGTTGTTTCCTTGGGGACACACATGCAAGCAGAGCTAGTAGGTCAAAGGGGAGGAATGTTTTTGTGACAGGTCGTGAGACTGCTCTCCGGAAGGAGGGAAGGGTTTACGGTGCCCTGAGCCATCCGTCAGTACACCTGCTTCTCCCCGTCGGAGATTTACCGCCTGGATTTCTGTTAGGGTTAGGAAAGCTCTACCCTAAGGCCTCCGTAATTCATGGAGAGATGGACAGTGTGTGCCTTATCCATGCCATATTTTAAAAGATTTATTCTTCTCCTTTGTTAAATTTAAGAACATTGGAAAAAAACATTACAAAACATTAGGATGGCCCTGGCCAGTGTGACTCAGTTGATTGGAGCGTTGTCCCACAGCAGGAAGTTTGTGGGTTCAGTTCCCGGACAGGGCACACCCGAGGCTGCAGGCTTAGTTCCAGGCCTGGACGCATATGGTAGGCAACCAATCGATGCTTCTCTCTCACATTGATGCTTCTCCCTCTCTTCCTCTCTCTCTAAAAAGCAATGAAAAATGTCCTCGGGTGAGGATCACACACACACACACACACACACACACACCCCAAGAGCAACAACAACAAAAGCATTAGGATGAAGAGAGGGGTCACGATCACCCTAGACCCATTTCCTCCTCAAGGAGACGTGAGTTCGTTGTCAATATTTTGGTGTCTGTCCTTCTGACCCTTGTCCACACAGCTTTTTATGCAAGAAGGGATCCTGCATATACACTTTGGTATGTTTCTTATTAATAGTTTGATGGCATAAACTTTCCCCCGTTGGATTAGGACCCGTCCCAGTGACCTCATTTCACCTTCATCATCTCTTTAAAGACCCTGCCTCCAGATAAAGACGCATTCTGAGGTGCTGGGGGTTGGGGTTTGGGGCAACACAGTCTAGCCCACGGCAGTGTCTGTCAGGGACTGTTAGTGTGGCTGTAGTGGTCGTTGGCTAGTGCAGTCTCGTCTGACCCCTCCTGAGAGGGGCCGTGGAGGGGCTCAAGGCCCCCAGGGAGCTAGACAAACATGTGCTTGAACGAATGGGGGTTTTGTGAGGCAGTCAGATGGGACAGTTTGCCCCCCACCGAGGACAGTCAGTTCCCAGGGCCTCCCTGTGCCACACCTGGCGGGAGCCTCCTTGAGTGTCCCTGCGACCGAGGAGACCTGACCCCGTTGTCAGCATCTTCCTGAGCTGAGCTGCGGGGGAAGACAGATTTCCTTTCCTCAGCCACAAGCCCACATTTTCCAAGCTTGTGACCATGCAGCGCCACTGAGCTTTTAAATGAAGGGAGGGAGAGAAGGTAGGCTTCTGTTTTCTTCGGAGAGTCAGCTAGCATAGAATGCCAGTCGTTTAAGGACAGAGATTAGGGACGGAGCTGGGGGGTCTGGCAACAGGTGCGGTAAACACGCAGCAGCACTGCCAACCTGCCCCGCCCACACTCACTGCAGACATCACTCATCGATCGCAGCACCACTGAGCTCAGACTCCACCTCCATTCCAAGCATCGATGCTGCACTAGAATGGGCATTCAGAATGAAAATCCTTTTCTCCCTGGATCGCTCTGGTGGTAACGGAGTGCTAGCTCACCTCTTCCCCTTGAAGAACCACGGCAATGTCAGGCCAGGGAATAGGGTCGTCAAAGGCATCACCCGGGGGGCCCGTGCCTGGAGTGGCTGGTACCTGGGGCCCGGCATTTCCACTGCAGAGCCGCTCGGTCCCAACCCTCAGAGTTCCTAGCTGGTACAACCAGATGGCGCCTCACTCTGAGCCCGTGTTCCTAGATTGTGTTTCCTGGCCGAGAACCTCCTACACCCTGCAGCTGGGACTCCCTCGGGCCCCCTGTGCCTTACACACGCACAATCCCAGCGCGTGCGGGAATTCATTAGTGTGGGATCACCCTCGACCCACGAGGGCTAGAAGACAGTAGAAAAATTCTTCCCTCTTTCACCCTCCCCCACCCCGGACAGTTTTAATTCAGGTGTATTTCATGAGGCTCTGTGGAACATTCTGGAAGACTTGCACATCAGCCACCTTGATGGCCCCTCCTTGTGCTGAGTTTTCTGCTTCCCTGTGCTACTGCCCCACCCTTACTCCCGTGTCCACGTGAACTACTCGCGCCCGGACATTTGTCTCGGACTTTGCGTCCTGGGCCTGGAGCGGGTGCCTGTGCACCCGGGTCCCACCCTGCCTCTGACGGGACCTTTCCCTCCTAAATCAATGGCCACTCTGTCAGCACGGCACTGCATAGGCGACAGGGGACATTCCCAAGCCTGGTCTCATTTTGAGCTGTACAGCCAAGCTCAGGATGAGGCAGGTAAGGATGCCTTTACCATCCTGTTCTGGATAGAAAACTCGAGTTCAAAGTCCTGCCCAGGGTCGTGCAGCCGGTCAGCGGTCAAGTCTGAAGCCCAACTCGGCTGCTTCAGCTGCAGCCCAGCCCCACTCAGCCCATCAGCCACACCTGCCCCCACGTCAGCCTCTCTCAGAGGACGGCCTGGCCTTTGCCAAGGCTCCCAGTCCTTCGTGGGCGCAGACGGTGCGGTGAGGGAGACTGAAGAACACTCTTGTCCCTGTCCTCTCTCCTCTGCAGGAGTGAACACGTCCTTGTCCTCCTCGGGGCCGTGCTGTTCTTGGCGTCTTTCACGGCCACGGCTTTGCTCACGCTGGCTCATGCCCTTCCCGTGGCAGCGCCATCCGAAGCCAGGTGAGCGCGGTTCCCAGCCCACCCTGCTCCGTCCCTCACCTGCCCTGAGAACGGGGCCAGGACCTCCCAGGGAGGGCTGGGAGTGAATGCCAGGCTGTTTGTGCCGTGCACAGTGCCTTCTGGGAACACTGGGCGGGAAGGGTTTGGCCCCGTTGAACACGGTGATTTTGCACTTTTGTTTCCAAACTTCTGAACCTTTCAACTGGCACTGGGGGTCCTCTGGCCACTGAAATGCTTCTCAGAGGAGAAGAGCGCCCCCACGTGGCTGTACTGTGTTTCTCCTCCAGTGGCAAACGGCTGCTGGGAGGCTCTGATGTTGGATGGAGAGACTGAGGGGTGAGGAAGCTGGGGTTACCCCCTCAAGGTCACAGGCTACTACGTGGCGTAGGTGTGAGTTGAACCTAGGACCTTACGCACGGTGCTGTTTTGCCTCCTCAGTGAGGTATGTCTAACAAGGCTTCCTCATGACCAGCCTGTGCATTACACAGGATAAACCGGTACAACTCACCCGCTAATCTATTCTCAGCACAGCGGTCGGTGATGCAGGTGAAGGTCAGATCCCGCCAGCCCTCTGCTCCAGTTCCCCCCAGGGGCCGTCCGTGGCCCTCAGGGCAGAGCCCCCGTCTGACCTCGTCCATCACGCCCCGTCTTGCCGACTCCTGGACCAGCCACGCTGGCCTCCTTGTGTCCACACGCCAACTGCGCTCCCTCCGCAGGGCCTTTGCACGTGGTGCCCCCTCGCACGAGAATGCCTTCCCTCTAGAACCTAGGTCTTGGCAGGGCTGGCCCCCTCACTCCCTGCGGGTGTCTGTGCACACAGACGTCACCTTCTCAGAGCAGCCCTGGCTGACCGCCTGGTGTCAACTAGCCCGGGACCATCCCCGGCACATGACGTGCTCAGTGTGTATTGGTGAGTGGGAGGGACGAATGAGTGAGTGAATGAATGAATGAATGAATGACTGTACCCTCGGCCTTTTAGTCTGGGGAGCATCACGACCTCCGTCACATCCTTGGCCTCTGTGGGCATGGCCAGGTGACCGAGGGGAGGCTCACCGCTGCCTCGCCCGGTGGTTCTTAGCTCTGGATGCACACGAGAGTCCCCTGCGGGGCTTTTAATTCCCCCTGATGCCCCCAGAAAGCACCACCTCAGACCAGTGGAATCGCTGGGGTGTGGCCCAGGCTGCCGAACTTTGTACAAGCTCCCGGAGGAGATTCATTTCTTCGGAAGGGGTTCAGTTCTGAGAACCACCTCTTTGGAGTCCTCCTGACAAAGCAGCCATTGCAAATGAAAACAACTGTTGCAAATGAACGCAACCGCCCTATTTCCCTGGGATCCGGGGTGGCGGGGTGCAGGGATTTGGAACCTTAGCAAGCCCGCTGTGGCCTGCAGCAAGATCGTTACCGAGGAGATGCACAAAGGTATCCCAAGTTTCACTTCGGATTTGCTGCTGGACTCAGCGGGCATCTGAGAGACTCCCTCTCCAGGCCCAGGCCGAGCAGAGCCGTTGTCCTGTTCCCTTGTCTCTGCAGCGAGAAGGCGGCTGTGCTGTACTTCTCGGAGTACTACACGAAGCCCTACTGCCGACTCGGGCCGTTCCTCGTGGGCGTCTTCCTGAGCGTGTACATGCACCAGAACCGCCAGGCGGGCCTCCTCAAAACCAGGGTAAGATTTCTCATTTCGTTCATTCTCACTTAAAAATGATTCAAGAGTCGAGGCAAGCGGCAAAAACAGCCCAGGTCTTGTGCCCCCCCTGACCCAGGTTCCCCACTGGTGACGTGTGACACAACTACAGTGCACAGTCACAACCAAGGAAGTGACATCAGTGCATTTATAGACCCCAGACACGCTGGTGTCACGAGCACTCCCGTATGTGTGGGTGTGTAGTTCTGCGTAGTGTTACCACGTGTGCAGGTTGGTGTAGCCGCCACCGTCCTCAGGGCCCAGAGCTCCTCTGTCACCACGTGGATCTCCCTTGTGCTACCTCGCCGTGGCCTCACCCTACCGTCCCCTGCCTAGCCCTCACCCTGCGCTGCCTTGCTGTGGCCACACCCACCCTGCCCTGCCCTCCCCGACCCTGGTGACCACTGACCCGAACCTTCCGTTTTAGTCCGATGTGGGTGTTGACTGAGGTTTACGACGCGGCCCCTGGAGTGACAGCAGCAATACAGAACGAGGCGGTCAGTGCACACGAGTAAACGCACAGTGGCTGCATGGGCCCTGAGCGGCCTCTGTCCCGCCCCACAGGTGCAGGCGGTGCTCGGGTGGAGTTGCTCCCTGGCCACGCTGTTCGCGGTGGTCGCCGCGGCGTACGCAGTGGACGACACCTCGGGCACCCATGCAGCTGCCGCTGCTGTCTACCAGGCCCTGCACCGGACCCTGTGGGCGGCGGCCCTGGGCTGGGTCGTGTTCGCGTGTCACGAAGGCCACGGAGGTATGACGCTCGCGTGCTCACACTGTCCCTTGGGAGGTGACGAGTGTGAAAACAGTGCACAGAGGGGCTCTTGTTTGCTGGTGAATGGCTCAGAAACATCCATTTGTCTGTCTTCTCGGGGCAAACACCCCGCGTACTCTGAGGTTTTCACACTGGTGTGTATGCACCGGCAGGTTCTGGAAGGAAAGTTTGCGGCCTCTCCAGTGAAGCTGGTTGGCAGGTTGGGAGAGAGCAGGCAGGGGCGTGAGAAGAGCCCAGTGCAGGAAACGAGAGTTCGGATGCCACGCAGGCCGGCCTCGGTTTACCCCTCTTCAGGTGGAGACTCCACTGAGGCCCTGGTGGCTGGAAGTGCCATTTCCGTCACCTGCCGTCGGTGGCAAAGCAGACCACGCTGGGCTTGTTCCTCTATCCGGGGTCTTATTCTGCGGAGTTGCCCACGTTTCTCCCCCCGTTAAAACCTTTCCGTGGGGCCCTGTCACCGACAGCAGTGGTCCTCACACTTTAATAGTAGATGGGCCCGTTCTGAAGGAATAAGAATTCTTCGGGATCCACGGTATGGAATATTTGTTTTGAAGGGACCTAGAAGTCGATCGAATGCAAGCCGCCCAATACTGGACCAAGAGTCCGAGGCCTGGCAATGCTAACTGCCTCGTGCCAAGGCCCAGCAGCTCTGCACCCTGAACTAGAACCCAGGCTGGTGAAAGGACTGCAGCTTGTTCTGTAGGCAGGATGTTTGAAACCAGCCCGGGGAAGTCAGCTGACTGCAAACTCAGTATCAGCCTCTCTTACTTTTTCGTCTTCCTGCGTGCGGTGGGGAGTTGGGTGTGGGTGCTGTTGTTTTGTGTGTGTGTGCGCGTTCTCCTAAACATGAACGAAGACCTTCCGGGGAGAAGCCCACAGACTCAGGGGCAGCACCTGGAGGGTGCAGTGACACCACGGCACCTTCACGGGCCCTGCGGGGGGCTCTCGGCGCCGTGACCCGAGGCCCGTCCCCTCCAGGTCTGGTGGCCCAGCTGCTGTCCTGCGGCGTCTGGAGCTTCCTGGCCGGCATCAGCTACGCCTGCTACTTGGTGCACCCCATCATCCTCCTCCTCTACAACGGGCTTCAGGAAACGCTCCTTCACTACACGGACATGAACATGGTGAGTCTGCGGCTCTGCGAGGCAGCGTGGCCGTTGTTGTCTCCCGGGGCCACGAAGCAGCCCGCTGGCTCCGTGGGAAGCCTGGCGCTGGCCCGGCTGGGGGCCCGCTGTTCTCCGTTCCACTGGAGGGAGGGCTGCAGCCCGTCGTCCTGCCTCTGCCCTATGTCCTTCACGTTGAGTGGTCAGGGCTGTCCACCCGCAGACCCGTTTCCTGCAGCCAGGAGGGCAGACTTGACGGTCCGCACCCTGGAGGACTTGGACGGTAAGGTTGTGTCCCCTCTGCCCCTGCTTCTCTCCAGTTCTACCTTTTCTCCGGACACTGTGTGCTGACCGCCGTCGCCGGGCTGGCCCTGACGCTCTTCATCGAGAAACCGTGTCAGGAGCTGAGGTGGTGCCTTCTGGGACCGACGCCTGCAGGGCCGGGCGCGGTCCAGTGACGCCCCACAGAGCGGCGGCCCTTTGCTGGTGGGGCAGGAGGGGGGCAGGGGCGGCCTCGCGCATCTCACAAATGCCGCCGTGCTCCTGCACGGGGGTGTCCGTCCGATTTTGTCAGTCGTTATCGTGTGCAAGTCCTCTGTGCTTAGTCTGTAAAAGAGCCCTCAGTGTTCACGATGAAGAAGAGTTCTCGGGTAATCTTTTTAGTAGTAGAATAATTGCCCTTGCATGTACTTTTTAGCAAAAAAAAAATTCTGAATATTTTTGGTCACATCCTGTGTTTTCTCTGTATCTGTGACCTTACAAAAACATCAAATATAGTGAATTAACTGTAATTTGGCTTAAAATGCTCATTTTTCTTACTAGATCCTCCCTGTGTAGTTTTCCTCACTGTACTAGTTTTTGGGGTATTATAGCACCTCCACGGACTCCTAGCTTTTTCTTGGACGCTCAGGATGGTTTGACTCGCTAGTGTGCACTATTTACGGGCTTGTTGTTACAAGTCTCCTGAACACCACCTTTTGTACGACTTGGTCCCTGAGTTAAATTGTTAATCTGTCCCCAAAAGATATGAAATTCCGCCCTGGCCGGATGGCTCAGCTGGTTGGAGCATCGTCCCTTACACCAAAAAGTTGCAGGTTCAATCCCCGATGGGGGCACACACAGGAGGCTGCCGGTCGACGTTTCTCTCCCTTTCTCCCCTCAGTAAACCTGTCCTTGGGTGAGGATTAAACAAAGATAAAGTGTTAACACCCCCGTGTCTGTTAGGGTGTGTGGCCTTATTTGGAGGTAGGGCCTTTATACAGAGGTGATCCAGCTCACTGAGGCCATTGGTTGGGGCTGTGGTCCTAATCCAACCTGACGGTGCCCTTCTGGAAAGGCAGTCGGGACCCAGGGGCAGATGTGCACAGAGGGGGGTGATGTGAAGACACGCAGGGAGAAGACGCCCATCTGCCTGCCAGGACCCCCGAGGATGGCCGCAGGCACCAGGCACTGGGAGAAGCAGGGTGGGATTCCCCCCGGACCCCCCAGGAGAGCGTGGGCCTGCCCACCCCTCGGTTAGGACTTCCAGCCTTGCAGAACAACCGTGAGGCCACACATTTCTGCTGTTCTCAGCCAGCCAGTCTGTGGCTCTCTGTCGCAGCAGCCCTACCAAGGAATGTAGCCCGGCAACAGAGACTCCCAAAGGAGAGGGAGGGGGCCCCGGCCAGTGGCGTCTGCGCCGACCCCCTCGGTCTCCAGCAACGAGACCCAGGGACAGGGAGAGACTCACAAGGCTGGGTGGAGGCCAGGGTTCTTTCCGAGTGTGTCGCTTCCTGCCAGGCATCCTCCTTCCACATCTCACACTGCTTGTCACGACACTCTCTCTGTGCACTTACTAATGGGAAAATGTGTTCATAATCACGGGGCGACCAGGAGCTTCTTAGCTGGGGACGCCCCCTTCCGAGTTTGCTGTCTTTGCCTTCGAGCGGATGCTCAAGGAAGACCACGGAGCCCGGAGGGGCTGCAAACCTCAAATCCTTCAGCAGAGCAATGGACCACTAACTTTGGGGTACAAGCCACGTGTCCCTGAGGTCTGGTCTCTCCTGCTGACCGAATGTGACCTGAATGAGGAGGCAAGTCCCGCCCTGGCGTGTTCAGCCTGTAGTGAAACGCACCCAGCTGGGTTTCAGGGGAAGTCTGAGGTTCGTGGAGTTCCTCGGGAGACCCCTGGTGGCTGATGCGGCACATGAGCCCCCGGACGTAATGAAGCCTCAGAGGAGACCTCGCTGGTGGGCGGGAGGCAGGTGCAGGAAGAACAGGGGTCCCAGATGGCCCCCAGCGGGAAATGACTGCCTGCCAGCATCGCTGGGCACTCGAATGGCCAAGTGCTTCTAGTTATGAGGCTACAAACCTGGGGCCCTTGGAAATAGCTTCTCAATGACTACCAGAGCCTTTCAAAGTTCTTTGTATAAGGAAAAAAAAAATCCCCTCCTTACTAGGGCCATGTCATAACACATAAAGTGGGGATAGAGAAGTTCACTTTTGTTCTAGACTGTTCTCAATACAGATAGTATGTGCTTTATTTAGACTCTGCAACAAGCTGTAAAAAGGCACGTGGCATTTATGGGGCCCTTAGACTTTTGAACACTGCCTGGGGGGTTGATGACATAAGGGACTTAGTGATTTTTTAAAATGTGATAATGGTGTTGTGGTGATGCGGTTTTATTTTATTATTTTTTAGACTAGTCTTTAACTGTAAGATGCATATTGAAACATTTACGGACAAAATGCTATAAAAATCTGGTACTGACCTCCAAATAACTGTGGGATGAAGTGGGGTAGAGGAAATAAGATTGGTGATACAGTAATAACTTTTTAAGTACATGGGACCGCATTATAATATTTTCTCTATTTGTTGTACGTGCTCGAAGTTTGTATACTTTGTAATAGAGCCAGACGAGCTTCTGGAGGCAGCGGGATCAGCACAGAGAAGCGTCCGTCGGTGGGTGCCTCCTCTGCTTCTCCCTGAATTCTGCAGCCCACTTGCAGCTTTACATACCCCCCCGGCGGGTAAGATCTGGTCACGTCCGCGGTAAGATCCCGTCACGTCCGCGGTACAGAGCTCCCCCCAGCGGGGAGCTATAAATCCCCAGGCCTCCTTCAGTTCCTCCCCACCGCGGTTTGGGAGCATCCGGGGCGATCCCGCTCGTCTGGTGAAGGCCTGGACACTGCTGTTTGCGTCACCCGGAGCTCACTGTCCGCAGCCCACGCCTGCTCGGCCACCAGGCTGCTGGGAGCTGCTGGGAGCTGCTGCAGGGGCCTGCGTCCCCTACCCCGCCCACGTCCCCAAGCCACCCTCCCAGATGCACCGCCTTCTCCCGTGAGTTCTCCCAGCAGGATGTGGGCCGGGCTGGCTGGGTGCTGGGCCACCATGTCCACTCAGAGCACAAGTGGTCTCCGCAAAGGCCACAAGGGAGAAGTCTCCCCCACCCACCCTGTGCCGCTGTGGGCTCTCATTCAGGTTTTGGGCACTCATCGCGGTCTTACGGAAACTGCTCTCGAGTTTCCCTCTGCTGGCGCAGGTCCGTCTTTCCCGACTGCTCCGAGTCTACAGTTCTGGGATGGAGGGCAGCCCTGGACTGAGATTCAAAAAAAGAAAAAGAAAAAGAAAAAAAGAAAGAAAGAAAGAAACTTTCACTGTGTAGCATGAAAGTCCTGATGGGTGCAAAAAAAGGGCAGCGTGTTAATAATCCAAAACGACAGAGTCCTTTGTTAGAAAACATGCAAAGCGAAGCAAGAAGGAAGACAGGCAGGCAAAGGGTGGCAGCTCAGACACCCGGAGGGAGCGGTGGGAAAGGCTTTCTCTCCTGTTCTAAGAAGGATCAGAATTGGGGACAGGGAGGGACTTTAGAGACGATCTATTAGACAACATCGTTTTTGTGGGACTTTTTTTTTTTTTGCTAATTTTAAAAGAGTTATTTTTCAATTACAGTTTGCATTGGATATATTTTTTTTATATTAGTTTCAGGGACGTTGTTTTGCAGTGAGGCAGCTGAGGCTGGAGCAGATGGAGCCAGAACCAGAGGCTGTTCTTCACGCTCATCTACAGGGCCAGGACGGGGGAGCAAAGCAGGATGCATGCACTTGTACACATGCAGTGCACATAGGTACATGCATGCACACATGCATGCATAAGTGCATATTCATATACATGAGACTGTTCTCTTTCTTACTTCCCAAATTTTCTCTTTAACAAAGGCTGGAAAAATCAGTACTACTTGTCTCAATTTCTCTTACCTCCTCTGTGCACAGAGTGTTGGTGAAGCAACAGCCATCAAAACAAAGGTCTCAGTCCTGTGGAAATACGTGAGTGTGGCAAACCTTCATCACCGTTCCCCGTTCTGTGGGAGAAGCCAGTTCCCAGGCCCTGCTCCCGGAGATTTGAAATAAATAGGCCTGCAGACTCCAGAGAGCTTTAGCTGCATATGTTCAGCAGACCACTAGAGGGCAGCACTTAGAGACCAGTGCAGGGCCCCGTGGCCTTGTTGAAATGCACTGGAAACTTCCTAGAAGAATTGGACTGTTGAACTGTGAATTAGGAGTTAAAGAGTATTCATGGTTTCCTCTCCAACGGCCAGCCTAGGAAATTTAGGATGTCATAAGGACCAGAATAAGCTTCCACTCAATCCTTTGGGAAATGTAACTATTATTTCTAATCTATGTTATTTTCAACTGAAAGTGGCTTCATCTTTGTAGTGATTTCCACATCCTTATTTCTGAGGAACTTCAAGTGAACTTATGTTTCATTTATTTTTCAGTTAAGAGGAGGACTGCCTGTCAGACTCGACCTCAGAGTTCTTGGGTCTTGAACACCCAGTGCATCAGACAAACGCCACCCCCCGCCCTGCCAGCTGAGGGACCATGCCGGACTCCGTCCTTGGTGACGGAGATCTCTTTGGAGGGTGCTGGCATTCCCGGGTGTGAGGATGGCTGGGAGAACGTTCAGCTCCTGCTTGTTCTGGAGCCTCTGGGACTTCAGATCAAGGCCAACTGTAGGGATCCCAGAGATGGCATGAACCTAAGGGCGGGCATGGAACCTGCACCCCGTTTGGGGGTGAGTCCTTCTGGGGCCACTGTGGGACTGGATGCTCGAGGCTTGCTGCCCTGTGGCATGGCTCTGCTCTCCGACTGACTGCCACAGTCTCTTCTAGGAGCTTCATTGGTGTCTCTTTGGGTGTGGAGGAGAGTGTTGCCGTATTGTGACAAGCTCTCCTTGGAAATGCAGGGAGAAAAAGTGCAGTGAGATTGGATGGCACTGGCTAAGGCAGAGCCCATGGAGTTTATCTAAGAGTGTCCTTCTCTTCAGTGTGGTCCCCAGACCGGCGGCAGCAGCACCTGGGAACTTGTTAGAAATGCAGATTCTCAGTCTCCACCCCGGACCTCCAGGGTCACAGACTCCAGGGGTGGGGCTGGCCATCAGCGTTTGAGCAGACCTCAGAAAATGCAGCGCAGGCTCAAG